AACTCGCACAAATTGAACGATCAATGAATCCCAACAATCACATACGAATCCAAAACATTAACCCCCTATTCCCTAGCATATAGATTTACCTACTCATAATCAAATCAACACAAAGAATCATTTCAATAAGATCATTCATATTCATCAATTAAGAGAAGAGATTATCTTACGATAAAAATCCCAAAGTCGAATTTAAAAGACAAGCTTGAATCTAAGACAAATGAAGAAATCCCCAGTGTAATCCACGAAAAGAAATCCCCAGTGTAGTCCATGATCAATTTATGTTTAATATGAAAAAAAAATGAAAGAAAAGATGAAAAGAGACGAAGAGGAAGAGAAATGGGCTAGGTTTTCTCTTCTGGGGTCCAAAGAAGGATGTCCTTGTCGAAATCTCGATTCACATATATATATATGCGTAGGCTTCTCACGGCGCTGGGAGGCGGGCGCGACGCAGAGAGGTGTTGTGGCGCGGCAGGAGTCCCGCGGCGTGATGGAGTAAAGCCCCGCGGCATGGTGCAGCTCAGCGGCGTGGCGGTTGGTGTGGCTGGGAGACTCTGTCCAGGCGTGTCGGGCATCGCGAGGTGTTGCGCAGCGTGAAGGGCTTCGGGTGGCGCGGCGTGGGGCGTGCCATGGCATGGCGTGCGAGAAGCCATCTTCTGAAGGTCCGTGACGGTGACGCGAGATGGGCCGCGACGTGGGGGTGGCACTTGGCAGCTTACCGGACATTGCTTCTCGGGCCCGTTCGAGCTCATTTGGAAACAGAATTCAATTCCGTTTTCTCCTGTGTGATGCCAACGAACTCTTCTACGAGATAATGCTTGTCAAATCAATTTTCTCCTCGATATCAAAATCTACCATGGACTCAACCTGCACACCACAGATGAAGAAAAACCGGAAGACGACCGAAAAAACACAAGGAAAGCCAACATAAAAGAAAACACGCAATAACCTATAAAAATGAATAAAAACTAACGAAAAGACCTAAAACGTGGAAAAAAGAAATGAAAAATAATAAGGAAAAATGCAATGAAAATGGGACAAACAACAGTTGTGTTGATCATTGCCTCGATATTTCTTGATTGTTTTGAGTGACATTTATTTACCTTGTGAGGTTTTGATCCTTATTCTTCTTTCTTGTGAGATATTAATCATATTCTTGATTGATTAGAACTTGACTTGAGTTTGTTTGAAAGGAATTGATTAGAGTTTGAAATTGCGAAAGTGATTGAGGCGTTTTGTTTGATTAGCTCTCTTTAGCCTTGTTCTTTGGTCCTTAACGTTATTTTCCCTAGTAGCCCGTTTGAGCCTTGAGCCATTTCTTGTCAGCCATGTATTTTGTTGATTGATTTTGTGTTGATTGGTGAAAATGGTGTCGTTGTTGAATGAGGTGAATTGGAGTTGGATTCTATTGCTTGACCAAAAAAAATAAAAATGAGAGCTCACAGGACAAATCGATTGGATTCTGCTCCTCTTACTAGTCGATTCATGTTACGGGTAATGATCATTGGAAAACTACTGTAGGACACTTGGATGACCTCAAATGATTAAACTTATAGAATTTGTCCTTTCGATTTGTTGTTGTTCGAAAAAAGTTACTCACCAAATAAAAAAAAAAAAGAAGAAAAAAAAAGGTTAAGTGATGATGTTGCAACTTGTTCTGAGCATCTATGTGTTGTTTGTGGAATGTTGGTTGGGTAGTAAGTGTTTTGCCTTGTTGATTCCAGATGAGTAGCGGAATGCTTGAGTATACTCGATAATCTTGATTGTCTATTTGAGCTTCTTGACCTTATATATCCATACCTTTACCTAAGTCACATTACAACCCATGAAGTCCCCTTGATTCGCAAGTTTTGAACTTTGATTATTTTTTAGTAATATAGACGATTGGAAAACATATGTTCAAACAGGAATATTGACCAATCTGAGCAACCTTATCATATATTCATGTAAAAGAATGAGTGAGGCATGTACTAATATTTCTGTGTTTGAGAGTTTGTCATTTTGAGGACAAGTTTATATTTGAGGCATATGGTTTCACTGTCGTTGGAATTCGACCTGGTTGAATTGGACATTTTGAAACTGTATTCATGCTCATGTCTTGTTTTCTTTTCTGTTTGTTCGGGACGAACAAAGGTTTAAGTGTGGGGGAGTTGTTTGTCTCATTTTTGTTGCATTTTTCCTTATTATGTTTCCTTTCTTTTTCCTCCATATTAGGTCTTTTAGTTAGTTTTTATTTCGTTTTGTAGTTTATCGCGTGTTTTCCTCTATGTTGGTTTTCTATGTGCTTTCCGTGTATTTTTCCGGTTTTTCTTCGTTTATGGTGTGTAGGCCGGTAACCTCAGGAGGACTGGATTTCAGGCAAAAATTAGTCGGGCAAGCATAATTAGGTAGAGGAGTTTGTTGGCAACGCACTGGAAAAGGCAGAATCGAATTCCGATACCAGACGAGCCCGAACGACTCCAAAATGTGAAGTAGTGCGAGCTGCCCAGGCCTCACGTGCGCGCCGCGCCGTGCCACGCACCACGACCCGAACTGAGACCCCTGCTCCTGCCCTCGCGCCCATGAAGACCTGTCGCGCCGCGCCACACACAACCCTCGTGCCATAAAGCACTCCCACACCGCGACATCGTCTTCCCCCGCGCCGCTAAGCACTCCCACACCGCGGCACTTCCCAGCCTTCACGCTGCGGCCCACGCGTGAAGCCCGTCACGCGTCAACAGAGCATCCCTCCCAGCGTGCCGCGCTGTGCAGCCCTGCCGCACCATGTCACTTCTTCTCGCGCCGTGGCACTCTCTTCCCTATATAAATGCACGGGACTTGATCGAGCAAAAAAAAATCTCCCAACCTGGGAGTAAAAACCCTAGTCCTGCGATCTCTTTCTCTGGTTCCTCTCCATCTATCTTTTTCATTTTTCTCTTCAAAAACTCCATTGTTTCACCGTGATTTTTCGATTACTTTTGGACGAAGCATGTAATTCAGATTCAACGTTCGATTTCTATATCAATCGTAAGTCTTTCTTTTCAATTAATCCATGAAATAATTGCTTGTGCTGAGATGATTGATCATGTTGAATTTGATTTACGTAGCTAATTCATATTGCTAGGGATAGGAGATGATTATTCTTGTTTGAATTGTATTGTCGGGCTTGATTCGTTCGTGCTTATGTGAGTTAAATAAATTCGGAATTGATGTAGTCTTGCTTGATTGATGGATATAATCGAAGAGTGACACTTCGATCTTGCAATTGGAAACATTGAATATTTATTTGTCAAGTTAGAGTTTGTCAATTCTATATGATTAGTTGATTAATCACCTTCTAGTTAATTAGCAACTTTTAGATCCGAAACGGAAGAAGTCGTAGACCTAGGCTAGCATGAGGTAGATGATTTCGTAATTGAATAGTCTAAAGGTTTTGGATTGAAATACGTGTTTGTCGATGACCCGTCCTTTGTTACGAAAAGTTATTGGGATTGAGATAATTGGCCTGTGTCGTATGCTCGAGTTTGTTCGTCTATGTTCAATCCCTTGTTACGAAGATATATTGGGAGCGACTAAGCGAGAGTGTCAATCTCGAATGGAGCGATTAATTGCCCGGCTTTTCTAGAACTTGAATTAATTATCTCTGATTCTCTAGCTTCTCCATCTTTATTCCGTTCACATATTTAGGTAGATTATTGCTTTTTATTATTTCTTAGTTAGTAATTATTCAATCCCCTTATCTGATTAGAGTGTGTAGGATTTATTTTCTTTTTATGTGTGATCGATACCAACGCTGAATTCCGAACCACCTTCCTCGTGAGATCGACCCGGGAAATGAATCTTTCGATTTGGTACTCGGTAAAAATATAATTTGCTACAACAACGGCAGTTTGGTTAGCGTGAAGCAAGACTACTGGAAATTCGTCAGAGAGGTAAGTGTAATTCTCTATCAACTTTTTATAAATAGCCCTGTGAAACTTTTATAACATACAAAAAATGTAAAACACGTGCACGAGACTGATCTCGAGGTGTACTTTTGTTGGAATGGCTTCAAATGGTACAATCAATGTGTGCAGCTGTGGAACTTACAGGGGCTACTGAAGTGGACGTCGAGCTAACCCAGGTGCGACATTGACGAATCCAATTTGTTTAGATGATACTAACATAGATGTGTGGTCGGAAGATGGCAGGGAGGATGAATTTGGAGTTGAAAAGAAGGTTTAAAGCCCAATCTGAGAAGATACAATTGCTATGGATGCGATTGATATAGATGACGATCACATGGATAACGAGTCGGATGTGGACTCATGTGTCACCTGACGGACAACTTGTTTGTGGGACGGGGTTACACTTTGTTTTGGTATTTTGCTCTCGACTATATGTTGTTGCTTTCTACTTTCTTATATATGTATTTTTCTTATGCAATTATTAGTGTGCGTATTTTATTAAAATAGGCTGCCTAATATTTTTGGTTTTGAATCTCCCTAAATTTCGGTATGATGGGTGCTAATTGTAATTTCGTGTATGTCATGTAATAGTGAGATTTGATTGTGGCTGCCATATTTTGTAAAGGTTTCATGTGAATATTGATCCTACTCATATATGTTTGTTGCTTTCTTTCATACATAGATTAATATCAATTTCAACTTAATACATAGTAAAGCAATTATTTAATCACCAACACATCACAATTTCATTCTTAACTGTGACATCATTAACAGTGAGTGTAAAAGAAATAATATTTTGCATCCAAATGTGAGGGGAATAAGTTGCAGGTTGTTTAGCTTCTTGTTTGGATTAGTTATAGTAAAATTGAAATAACACTTCAACCATGGCAAAAACTATGTACACCACACATACAGGGTTTTAGCTAATGACCACACACAAAAAAAAGGTTAATGACGAAGAAATAACAAGCCATGATTCCTGAAGAAACAACATCACAATTTAATGTGGTTAATAATGTCAAAGACAACCCACAAAATAAGGTAAGCTAAATGTCCTTAGACACTGGATGAACTTGACAAGTGTTCAATTTGGTGGGTCACTAGAAGATCCTTTGCATGAAGATGGCGCCGGCTTACGTGGTGGTCAGGGAATGCACAATGGTGTTCGACCCCCCACCTTTGAATGCTCACATTTGTGTGGGTATTCAGTGAGGCTTTGGATGAAGCCTCACGTTCTCGCGTAGATCTTGGATGACAAACGTTATTTCTAATTTAACCATTAACTGGTGCATTGGTGAGGGAAGTAAGCGAGAACACGTACGATTGTTCATTCAAGGTCGCTACATCATTTTCATTAGTGGAATTTTGGTCCAACAAAACCGGTGGATTTGATGTGTCTTCATAGACCACAGTGAACAAAAATCGTATGTCAGGCCAACGCGGGTCTCCAGAGTATTGGTATGCCACCGAGAATGGGTCGGGCTACATATAAAAATTTTATCACCTCAGACAGTAAGTATTTAGATCCTCACTTCGCAAAATTGAAGACACTTTGAATAAAGTAAACATATCTTGGTATTGGAACACAACAAAAAATACGCAAGGAAATGAGAAGCCTGACAGAACACATGTACTGGTATGAACATGACTAAAATATTGGTATATAAAAGTGTTTAAATTAAGCGTTACAAATTAAGAACCACACAACTCATCAACAAAATGAATTTTGGATGAGTTACCATCACATTCATCTTAGAACCTTTTAGTCAATAAAGGCCAAACAACAAAATAGGAGCCTGTGGTTTGAGCACATAGCCAGAAAAGAACTAATCCAAATGTGTATTATTCCCAACGATGTGAAAACACGAATAGATAATATTAAAGTTGCTTATATGATCAGTTGTTATGAAATACCTCAAAGATATCATCCCACACTGCTACTGGTGCCGTGAGGACGTTGGACTGAACACAGTGGCGCAACCCATGTTTTCGTAGCATCCAATTAAGGACCTGAGACCACTTGTGAAGGAAATCGAACCTTATCTGGAGTTCACTAAGAGTGAAGTTTTTCCCGACATCTGCAAGCAATACACCATAGCTGTAGTGTCCCGTTTATTTGTGGATTATTTAAGAATTTTTATTATTATTTATTATGATGATTATTATTTTTGTGATGATATTAATATTATTATATTATTTTTGAATGTCTTAATATTATTAATTGCCTAAATGTGAATAAATGCTAGTTGCCAAATGTCTAAATGATTTATTGATATTATTTATAAATGTGAATAATGTGTACTAATATATATGTAAAATATATATTGTTCGATTTATTTTTGTCGTGCGTTTGAATCGTAATCGAGCCCGTGAGCCGATTTATTTTTGCAAACCGGTGCGCGAGCCATCAGAACCCGCGAACCAGCCCAGCATGTCAAAAATCCGTCCTAATTGACATGAAGAAACCGGCCCAAGAGTGTTAAGATCCGGTTCTCCATTGCAGTGTGATTTTTTTTTTCTTGTTAACCAAGAAAATCAAATTAACCTAATATATATATATATATATATGTTTATATATATATATATATATATATATCTCGTTTCCTTTTGTTCCTTGGCATAAGATCAGATTCTTCTCACGCAGCCTTTGTGATTTTCTGTCCCGATCTAAATCTCTATCCCTCTCACTCGAAACGTAAGCAGAAAAGAGAAAACTCAAAATCTCTCACTCTGCTCCTTTACCGATCGCAACCCTCGCCCCGCAATACTTTTTTTTGTCAACCTCTGTCGTGAATCCCATCATCCTCCTCATTTTAATTTTCCCGATCATCACCCCTCCCTCACGCAGAGCCGACGAGCCCATCACCGAGAAGCTCCTCCGCCTGCAACTCGTCTCCTCCGGCGACCTGCGATTTCCGGTGAGCCTGTTGCATCCTCTCGCAACTCGCAGCAACAGTCTGGCAAGCCCCGACGACGTGCCATTCCTCTTCGCAAGCTTCCAACGCTAACGAGAACCCTTCCACCTGCAACTTCCGGCGAACTCATGTAGCAACTCGACGAAGTCCTTCCATCGCGGACGACCACCTGCTCCTCCTCCGCAACAGCACTTCCGACGGGTCGCCTCCGCCATCGCAGCAACCACGCAACCGAGAAGGACCACCGCTGCTCTTTCCTCGGCGAGCCGCGCGAAGCCGTCGAGCCCCGTCGTGCCGTCCTCTCTTGTTCAAACCCTTTCTCGCTCGATTCCCGAGAACGGTATCGAGTCTTGACCCCTCGTTTATTATTACTTGAATTATATTGTGATCGGTTGTGTTTTACGTGTTCTTTAAATTATTATATGCGAGTTTGAATCGTTCGTTATGTATATATATTCGTGATTTTATGTGAAACTCGTCGATTTGTACGAATCGAGTGAGAACTGAATATAAGTGATTAGTTGCTGTGGATTTAGGAACTTAGGATTTTTACGAACACATTGGCGCTGACCTTGTGTCGATTGGACGTGTATATGTGTAGTTACGATTTTTCGAAAATTTAAATGGCTGTTTTGAATGTTAAATTCACTATAAATCGAATACTGGTCCGATTGCCTTGAAATTTTAGGTGCAGCTGTTTTTGATGAATATGTAGCTTGTGTAAAAGTTTCGTGATTTATAAAGGTCTTTAGCTATTTTTAAAAATTAATTAATTTCTGTTCAGTTTCTTGTAAAATGCATAATTAATTGTGTAGTGCTCCAATTTGGCTAATTTTCGAATATATTATGTTGTATAAAAGTTTTAGAATTTTTGGACTAGGTTTGATAGGGTTAATAATTTATTTTGTGTTTCTGCCCGAATTTATTTTAATTATAATAAATTGTTCTGAAGCTGAAAAATTCTGAATTCTGGATGAGAAGCTGATTATGTGGTGTTTAGCATTCTGTAAAAATATGGGAATTTTCGGAATTTCTTTAGGATCAATTCTGATAGAATTTTAATAATTGGCTGAATGTTGTTTTAATTTTATAAATTCACATGTTGAGTGTTAAAGGCTGGTATTTTTCTGTGTTGTTGTTCATATGCTGAAGTATTTTAGATAAAAATTTTATGTCCTGAATCGTTTATTATTATGTGTTTCTAATTTAAGCTCATTTTTGTTGAAAAACTTGTGTGAATTTTATAAAATTGGATTTAATGAGTTTGAGGCTGAAACTGGGTGTTTTTACTAAATTCTAAAGCCTAACTCGTAGGTTTGATATACCTTCTAATTCAAGTGTAATTTTGAAAATTGTTTTATATGGTGATTTTCGGTTAAGTGTTGTTGACCGAATTTGCTATGTGTCTACATGTGACTCGTTGTTTGTCTTTCACTTGCGATTATGTGAACTTGAATATGTGGTTCGATCGAGTCTAAGTTCTAATGTTCCCATATCCACAGAACTTCACGAACCACTTGGTCGAATCGAGTTCGGCTAAGTCAATTTGTGAATTTTCTACTTAGGTCCAGATTAAAGTGTTGACTTTAGTATCTGGACTTAATGTAGGTGTCTAGAGGTTTCGACCTCGTCTTACTTTTGAGATTCGTGATTTTGATCTATTGCTGCTATCAGGTGGGTACAGTTATGATGTATTCCATATTTATCGCACTATTTATTTCGTATAATGCTTCTTTTGGAAAATGTTGTATGCGTGAGAACCCTAATCTAAGTATCCTATTGGCAGTGCCTTTGACGAATGCATAACAGTAAGAGGTCACCTGCCCGTTGAATCCGGGAGTAGACGCCCTGATCCGTGTGTGTTTCGGGGGGGGTAAACATCTCCACTGTCTCCTGGAAAACATCCATGATCCGTGAGTAGTTCACGGTGGGGGAAATTTTCCAGTTACGGCCGTACCGATGTCATCGAAAGGTTGTTGTATGTATATAGGAGGTTTGCGATAGGGCCGGGTATGGGGTTTAGACTGTTGTATTCTATGCATACTGATACTGTTTACTGTGACACTGCTTTTAAAATATTTATGCGGGATAATTGTGCGATAATGGTGACCTAGTTGGTTGCTCACCCCCATTTTTTTTTCTTTATTTTCTTCTCTCTTCCTTTGATTTAGGTTGAGACGAGCTGGAGGTGGTGGCGTAAGACGAGCGAGATGGTGGTCAATATGTGATGATATCTTATGCTTTCGCATGAACTTGCTATTTATTTATTTGCTATCGTACTTTGGATTATTTATTTCTTCATTTTTGAACTATGTTTGAATTTCGTTTGAACCTTGATTCATGCTAGACGTTTGGGAATGATTTTGAGATCGTTTATTTTGATAGTTCGAGCATGTGTAGGTTCATTGGATTGATTGATTGGGTGTGTTTATTTGTTTTGGTTAGTAAGTAGCGCCCATTTCTCGATAAATGTTTTAATTTGGATTTCTTTTTTAAAAAAAATAACTCTGGTTAATATTAAATAAATTCTGTAAATTCTTTAAAATAAAACGGGGCCTTACAGTTTGGTATCAGAGTCAGGTTTGCTTTTCTGTAGCGCCCATTTGCTTTTCTGTACCGTACGAGCTATACGCAGCGGAATTTAAAATTTTCCAAAACAAGTATTTAACACTTAAATACTTTACTCGTACATACATATGACGAATTTAACAGATCTTCATCTTTAATAACATGTAATAATACATATTTTGATTTGTTGTAAGTAAATTCTAAATTTACCTTAGTCTTGAACTCCTTCAAAATTGTCGATGAATGAGGGAATCGATTCCCGGTTTGTAACAGCAACACCTTTTGGTTACTCGCTCAGGAATCCAAGTGTTTTCCTTCTAAACGTATCCACCTTTTGAAGTCCGGTTCCGAACTAGTTCCTTCGCTAGTAGAAACTAATCGGTTTTATTCAATTAGTTTAGAATATATATTTTTAAGGAAATTTTACAAGAACTTTTCTTGTTTTGGAATATGAAGAACACTTCTTCTTTTCTCTCTTTTCAACTCTTGAAAACTTTGCAAGACTTAGCTTAAATTTGAACATCAAGTATGTCCATATTTATACTGAACATTTTAGTATAAAATAATAATATTGGGTAGAATATTTTCATAAAATATGAAAAGTCTTCAAGAATATTTTCATAAAATATTAAGTCTTGAACAACATTTTCAACCGTTTTCAAGATCTTCTCTTCTTGCTATCTGAACTCTCTCGCTATCTAAATCGTGATGGACAACATTGAGCATAAGCTGCGAAAATTCTCATTATCCTCAAGAGAAGCGGACATTATCCCTCTAAAAGTGGAAGATGTCAAATTAGGGGAAGAAGAATGTCATATGAGCTTGTTCGGTAAAATCATAGGAGACAGGAAAGCAGGGATTTTCGGGCTAAAAAGGGCTCTTCATCGAATCTGGAACCTTCGAGGTCAGCTCACCGTTCGAGAATTAAGCCACAATTTCTTTCAGTTCCTCTTTGAGGACGCAGCAGACAAATCCAGGGTTGCTTCCGGCAAAAATTGGTCTTTCGAAAACCAGTACCTCATCCTCAAAGAATGGGTGGAAGACATTAGTGCAGACCATGAATGTTTCAAGGAGATGGATATGTGGGTCCATATAGAGAATATTCCCTTAAACTGGATGTGTGCGGAAGTGGGACTCAGAATAGGTCAAGCATTCAAGAAAGTTAAAGATGTGGTAATCGGGAACGCTGTCTCTAATACAGGCCGATGCATCAAGATCTTAGTTTCTATTAACTTGGAAGAACCGATACTCAGATGCTCCAACATCCAGCTAAAAGACAAATGTAACGCCCCAAATCAGTAATAATAGTAAGAACGGTTTCACTGCTCGACTATAAGTGAAATCCGTAATTTTCAAAAATTATTGAGTTATATTATTTATGCTAAATGCTCAAATATGATAAATTATTCTTTGAATAATTCTTTCTCAAGTATAAGTTAAGATTAATCCATTAATTTGGGTTATTAAATAATAGCAAGTCAATTCGAGAATTTATCGACTCCGAACCCTAGTTTGGATCCGAGTTAA